GCTGTTGTATTGCATGCAAGGCTGTTGTATCATATAATAAACATATGGCTGATCATTGTATCATATATAATAAAAAGTGAAGGAAGCTGTTGTATCATATAATAAACATATGGCTGATCATTGTATCATATATAATAAAAAGTGAAGGAAGCTGTTGTATCATATAATAAATATATGGCAGATCATTGTATCATATATAATAAAAAGTGAAGGAAGCTGTTGTATCATATAATAAATATATGGCAGATCATTGTATCATATATAATAAAAAGTGAAGGAAGCTGTTGTATCATATAATAAATATATGGCAGACCATTGTATCATATATAATAAAAAGTGAAGCAAGCTGTTGTATCATATATAATAAATATATGGCAGACCATTGTATCATATATAATAAAAAGTGAAGCAAGCTGTTGTATCATATAATAAAAAGTAAGGCTGGTCGTTTTGTAATATAATTAAAAAATGTGTTGGCCATTGTGTCATGTAATTACCTAGTTTGGCAGGCTGGTGTGTCATATAATAAAACATGGGGTAGACCACTGTGTTATATAACAAGTATAGCAGGCTGTGGTATCATATAATCAAAAAATATATATATTTTTGTCAGTTTCCTTTTTTTCTAATTCAAAAATTTTTTTTTAATTTTTTTACAATCATTTTTCACTTGGAAAGCATTTGTTTTCAGTTTCAAAATCCTTCTTTCAGTTTAAAAAAGTAGTTTTTAGCTAACTTTATGGTTCCAATTTAGCTCCATAAGACAGTCCTGATTAATGGTGTCTTTTGGTTTGKTTTCAGTGATAACCGGTACTTCTGGGTCGGCCTGAACAGGAGGAATCCATCCGACCCTTCCTGGCAGTGGAGCGACGGCCGACCTGTGAGTACGARCCAAACATCCCCGGACTTAAAAACTGAAGAAACACATTAATATTTGAAAAAAACATTTTGAAGGACAAAGCAGCGTTCAGTTGCTGCTTTCTTTGCTAAAGAACCAAAACATGATTCTGTAGCTACAAGCTAAACGTATCAAAAAACAATAAAAAATCTTAAAATGAGAGAAAACTGTATTAAAAGGCTAACTGCATGCTAACACTAGCAAAAGTCAAGCTAAAAACATAAATCTAGGAAAACAGTTGCTGAAAACGAAACATAGAAAAAGGTTAACTATAAGCAAGATGTAGCAAAAGTGAGCTAAAAGTAGCAAAAGGCTAACTACAAGAAGAAGTGGAAAAAGATGGGTAAAAACTAAAAGCAGCAAAAGGCAAGCTAAACGCTAAAAGCAAATGTTACATAAAAGCTAAACGTAGAAAAAATATTTAAAAGGATAAAATCAGCAAAAGTCTAGCTATAAGCTAACAGCGTCAACAGATTAGTTAATACATACATGAAGATTAATGTTAGCTAAAAGTAGCTAAAGTTTAGATAAACTAACAGTAGCTTAAAAAACGTAGCAAMTGGTAAGTTAAAAGCTAAAATTGGCAAAAGTATAGCCATAATCTAACAGTAGCAAAAAGCTCACTAAAATAAATAAATAGCGTAGCTGTAGCTAAAAGCTAGAAGACAACCATCAGCAGCTGAAGCAGATTTTAAAGAGAAAAATGTTTTTGAAGAAACTGAAAAGATTCAGATGTAATTTTATCTGTAAATAAAGTTAAATATCAAAAATATAAAAGTTATTAAAACCAAAGGTCACAGCATCCGTGAYCTAAATGAGACGAACGTTTTAATATATGAAAAGCTAAAATAGCACAAAGTCTGAAAAGCAGACTGCAGAAAAAACAAACAAATCAGCAAGACGTTCAGTTCAGCTGAACATCTTTCAGCTACACAGATGATGATGATGATGATGATGATGATACCTGTGAAATATTTGGATCAAGCTCCTTGTTTAGCTCAGATATGGTTAAACCTTCTCGTTTTGGGACCAGGTGTCTCTGGACGTTTTACACCACGAGTTCCACGAGGACGACGCCTACAAACGGGACTGCGCCGCCTTCAAGGTACGCCTACTCTTCATATCCTCCTTCCACAGACCACGRTATGAAATTTAATTTTTTTCCATCTGAACTGTAATCATTTTTAAACCAACCTGTGTTCCTGACAGTCCATGAAGAGCGGCTTGACCCACCTGCTGATGTTCCTGATCCACGATATCCGGGTCGACCCCTTCTTCGCCGCTCCGTTCCACTGCGAGGCTCGGCTGGAGTGGGTCTGCCAGATCCCCCGCGGTGAGACCACTTAAATGAGCTCTTCATCTCTATCAATATTATTTAATATATGAGGTGTGTGTGTGTGTGTGTGTGTGTGTGTCAGATCTACTGTGAACTTTTATAAAACACAAACTGCAAAACTTCTAAACCATCTCTAATTTCCACTCGTTGTTTCTTTAAGGAAATAAAATTCAAACTGAGTTTCAGCTCGAAACGTTTGAACATGTCAGAGTTTTTGTTTTTTCTTTGTGAACCTCAATAATGTGCAGAATAAATGCAAAACATTTACCATAGGTTGTGCAATCTGTGTAGCTGCTGAGCCACAAGTTAGCTGAAAGCTAACGGTGCTTTTTCTGTTTTACCCTGATTACAAAGTTTCRCAAACATTTACTGTTCATCGAAAATTTTACCCATTTGGTTTTCTGAACTTTTGTGTGAAGCTGAGAGCTAAAGCAGCTGAAACTGAGAGTTTAAACAAGCAGAACAGGAGTTAAAATAAACAGACTACATGCTAAAATCAGCTGAACAGGAGCTAAAATAAACAGACCACTTGCTGAAATCAGCAGAACAGGAGAACAGGAGCTAAAATAAACAAACCACTTGCTGAAATCAGCAGAACAGGAGCTAAAATAAACAGACCACTTGCTGAAATCAGCAGAACAGGAGCTAAAATAAACAGACCACTTGCTGAAATCAGCAGAACAGGAGCTAAAATAAACAGATCACTTGCTGAAATCAACAGAACTGGAGCTAAAATAAACAGATCACTTGCTAAAATCAGCAGAACAGAAGCTAAAATAAACAAACCACTTGCTGAAGTCAGCAGAACATGAGCTTAAAATAATGTAAAAGCATCAAAATAGCAGCTAAAAGGGTGGGACAAAAACGAATTGGATATCAAAAACAACTAAAAATCAGTTATGAAATTTAAGACTTGATTTCTTTAAACAAATAAAAGTGTATGAAACCTGTTGTTTGTTTGTAAATAATTGTTTGTTTGTGTTTCAACAGGAAAAACTCCACTAATTCCAGCCTGGTACAATCCTGGTAACTACCGCTTCCTCTTAAATCCTTTTTAAATCTCTCTTCCTGCTCATGTGCGACAGKTTAGATGCTGTTTGTCATTCTCTCCAGGCGGGCACCACCACACGTCCATCTTCGTGGACGGGTCGGAGTTCTGGTTCATGAAGGAGCCCAAGTTGACGTATTCTAATGCGGAGCTCTACTGTCAGAAGAGTGACGGCAGACTGGCGTCTCCGCTGTCCCTCAACGCTCAGGACAAGATCCAGAAAGGAATAAAAAAGGTCCGAAGACTTTTTCTGTCATTATCTACTCTTTATTTTAAAAAAGAGCAAATGAAAAAAACAACCAGTAAGAATTAAAGGACTAAACGAAATGTTTCTGCTTTTCAACAGCTGTTGGACTCCAAACATCTGAACTGGTGGATCAGCGTGAGTGACTCTGACATCCTGTTTCCCAGGCAGTAAGCATCATTTAGGTTTTTAATCAGACAGACAGAGTTTGTGCACAGAATGTGTTCAACATGCTGAAAACCTGTTTCAGGTACATGCTCACTTATCACTCACGGTTCTTGGGTCGATGTTCTTCCATCAGTCCTGACATGTACAGTTAAGTTGTTTCATTTTCTACTTATAGATCAATAAATGTTTTATTTTGATCAGTTTTATCAGCTCAGAAAAAAATTGAAATGGGTTTTATTATGTTTACTGTTCCACATGCAGTAAGTCAAAAGTTTGATTTCTCATAAACTGTAAAAAAAAAAAAAAAAAAAAAAA